GCCTTTCTGTGGGGAGGAAGAATCAATGTGTACAAAGGAGAGAAGTCTCCAATTATGTGGCAACATTCGTGTAATCAAATTTTGTATGAAGTTTAAAGATTAAGCAATTAAAAATAATAAAGGTGAAAAAGACAGAACAAGAAGATGGATGTCATGGTGACACAAGATTCTTAGATTGAAAGATGTGTGGAATTAAATTCTGAAAAAATCATTTTTTAAACCTGGTCTAGAACTTGTGATCCTCCTGCTCATCCCCCTGCATGCCGGGATTACAGGTGTGCAGCCCTGTGCTGAGTGCTAGTCTGAAGAATCTTAAAGCAGTTAAGGAAATGATGGGGGGAAGTCCGTTGTCAGCACTGCTGGAAAACACACAGAATTTATGGAGCACAGGGGGAGTAAAAGGAAACAGAAGGGGCTGTGATATGGGGGCAGAGAAGAGCCAGATCCTAGAAACAGAGAAAGCAGAAGAAGGGACGCCCACCATCCCACTTACTGTATTTCTTGGAGGGTGTCTTGTCGTTTTAGCTGGTGTAACAGCATGGATTTGCTTTGGATGCCAGCATATTTAGACATAAAGTATAAGGCCTTAGTCCGCACACTCTTCTCGCTGTCCATCAACCCCATAGTCAGTGGAAGAGTGAAGACGTGGCTTATGAAGCCCAGCTTCTCTAGCATCTCCCAGGCTAGCTCACGGATACTGGCATTGTAATGGGTTATATCTTCGAGCAGGCGGCAGGCTGTCTCAATGCGCATCTTGGGAGGGATTTGGTGACTGACGAAAATCTGTGCCAGAGCATTAAAATATTTCTTGTATTTTTCTGTCGAACAGAAAACTGTGAGGTTGAGAATGGTCTCTACCAAATTTTCTACCATTCCATCACTAAGTTTTTTCCCTACCACCCAGCTCTTCGCTGACATGCTTTCAAGGATACCATAGGACTCTCTTCTTTGCTCCTGGTACACATCCTTTTGCTTTCTCGTTAACATTTCCATATCTTCTAGACTCACAGATGACAGGGACCGGGATCTTAATGGCTCAGGTGCAGCCTTTTCTTTGTAGGATAGACTTAGATCATAGCGCAAGAAAACCGGGGTACCATTAGGCCAAAGGCGGGCACGGATCACTGAGTTAGGGATGTAGCCATCTGGAGCAAAGGGCCATTCCTGCCCGTGGCCAAAGAAGCTTTGTAACAGGCGGTAGATATTCAGCCCGTCCCAGCCAGGCAGGTGTAACTGAGCAGGGACGGAATAGGGATACTTCTGTTTGGAGTCAGAAGCATCAGGAGATTTTTCCTCCACAAAGTACAACCCAGGTCTCTCATGAGTCACGGTAGATATGTGTTTGCCCTCCTCGACCACATGGGGCACGGTGCCATCAAAAGCGATGGCCCGTTTGTTGATAAGGGTTTCTAGCCCCTGGAGTTCCTGAACGCTTTGTTCCAGGTACATAAATTTGGGTACAAATATCAACTCAAATGAGAAGAAGAAGCTAGGCAGGAAGGGCTTTGGGGTTTCTAGTATTTCATCTTCGATGTTTAGTCCATGTAGGCGCACCAGCTGAGTGAGAGGGAGCAACTGCAGGCAAGACACTATATAGATGCTCTGGTTGAAAGTCAAAAGCAGGTCACCTCGACTATTGGCAAAGCAAGGCGAACCGAAATGCAGTTCAGAGTCAAACTGAGTTACAAGTTTCCCACGGAAGTCCCAGACCCGGACTGAGCCGTCGGTGGCTCCCGTGACAAACAGTTTTAGGGAGAGGCAGACGTCAAATGAAGTAACAGCGCATTCGTGCAAGCAGTTTGTCTCTCTCAACACAGAATTCCGTCTGGATTCTGATGTTGGTAATTCTTGATAGCGCCAGAGAAACCAGCAGGAGTGCTCGGTGATGGCACCCACCAAACCCGGCAAGAGTACCATGTGTTTCAAGGGATAAAGGCAGTGAAATTTATCGACAGGCTCCAGGGTCAGGTCGGTCCCTGAACACACCACCTTTGTGAGTTGTATGTAGTTGTCCTTGCCGTAGGAACACAGTAAGGGATTTTCTTCAAACCCCTCCGGGGTAGACAATGCCAGCACCGCCCCGGAGTGGATAGTGTTCTCTTTCCGAACAGAGCAGTACTGGGACAAGATTCTCACAACGCCACTCTCGTGCCCACAGAATATCAGTCCTTTTTTGCTCTTGCCCAAATGGGACCTCCCGTAAGCCAAGCATTTTACTTTATCTCTGTAGTTTTCTGAAGTACACAGGAGATATTTGGCTGTACACGGGGAACGTGTGGCGTCAAACACCAGCACCTCTGGGCTGCCTATGGCCACAAAGAGTTCCTCTCTCTCTGAGTGATAGGCCCACGCCACAGCTTTATCCATGACAAGCAGAGGCCACGTAACAACCAGGAGGTCCCCTGTCACTGGAGACAAGAACCTCAGTAAACCGTCCTCGGTGGCACACAGGATACGAGTCCAGTTGCGGTCACAGCGGACCCGTTGTACCTTCTGCGGAGCAGAACCACAGACGTTGAAGAGCCTGTAAAAGTAGGGCAGGGAGTGCAGCGACAAAGTGTTGGCACTCTGGCAGAAGAAAGTCTGGTTATCAACAAACCGCAGTTGTTGCAGATCCGTGCCAACATTCAGCTGCCGCAGCAGATTCCCGGAAGCAAGGTTCCACTCCTTCAACAAACCCTCACCCCCTGCGGTAAACAAGGTGTAGGTCTCCGGCCGACTGTGGACGCACAACACGGGTGCCGAATGGGCCTTGAAACTGTGGAGGAAGTTACTGTTCTCTAAATCCCAAGCGTGGATCTCTCCGTTCTTGTTTCCAGCATAGAAGGTGTTCTGTGGGGCACAGCTACAGGAGCAGGTGAGGGAGGAGCCGCTGGCTAGGGAAGTGAACGTCTTCACTTCTTTAAGCCGGCCGCGACCCTCCTGGGTAAAGACCCTCACCGTGCTCTCGCACAGCGCCATCAGGAAGCCCAGGGACGTGTTCAGAGACAAGTCCTGTACAAGCTCCTGGCCACTCATGGTCACTTTTTGAGCCATCTGGAGGCCCTTGCCATTTGCTAAGATAAACCAGGTAACCACAGCTCCCAAAGTTCCAGAAAACAGCACCCCAGTTTCTGAATCATAGCAGAGGCAGCTGATGGAGAAACGACAAGGCACTGTGCCCAGAGTGACGAATGCCTGATGATGGTCTCCCAAAAGCCGCAGGCGCATGTCCTCGCAGTAAGCTACTAACAGGCGATGGGAGCTCACGTGGACCATTGATTTAATGGACGGCACTTCAGCCCTCATGGGAAATTTCATCTTCTTGACCATCCTTTTTCTTTCTGCGTTTTTTTCCTGTATCCATAGTATTGCCTAAAAGAAGGTGGGAGACAGAAGCCTGGTCATGGGGGGCAGAGCATCTCCCAGGAGCATGCTGTAAGAAAAAGTGGCCATCTCCTCTTGTAGACAAAGGAAAGATTTGGTTTGGGGGGGGCGGTCCCTAGTACTAGATACTGGGTTTATGAAAGAAGCTCCCGGCCCAAGGCTCTTGTGTTGGCCTTCAGTCCACTTTATAATGAAGACATAATCTTTGGGCCTGATAGTGTAAAGAGTGGCTAATCTAGGTCAAATTGCAACTTGGAGCCAGGTATTAAAATGAGCTCATTTTACAGGTGTGGTGCACAGGCCTGTAATTCAGCACCCAGGATACTGAGGTGGACAAGTCAGACTACATAGTGAGTTTGAAGGCAGCCTGAAACACATAGGAAGACCCTGTCTCAATGAATGAGTGAATATAATATGTAAGGTTGGGGCTGGAGAGATGGCTCAGTGGTTAAGAGCACTGGTTGTTCTTCCAGAGGACCCAGGTTCAATTCCCATACCCACATAACGGATCACAACTGTCTGAAATCCCAGTTCCAGGGGACCCAACACCAATGCGCATAAAATAAAAATAAATAAATGAATAACGTGAGCTTGTTCAGAGACATCCCTCTCACTCTGAAACAAGGGCATTTTAGGTACAGGACATACAGATTGCATTCTGAAGGAAGAAGCAGAGTTGAAGGAGCTTTACTTGTATTTGTTTTCCGTACTGCTCCAGCCAGTTTAAGGCGACGAAATAGTTGGCATCCAGGGAGTAGAAGCACATAAAAGGCTTCTTCTGTGCATGATAAGACTCCTGGTATAGAATCTGGGGCCGGTCACTCAGGACAGTCACATTATACCTGATGTTTTCCTGGATCTGGAAGGGAAAAAGGACAGATGCATATATGAGCAAACACTTAAAAATCCACACTGAGGGATTAGTGAACATTGGTTTGGTCTGTTTCTGCCTAACTGATATTTATCTGGAAGGCACTATTAGGGAACCACCTCTCCCTTAGCCTCAGGCTACAAGAGAACCCTTTTAGGCTTTTTGTTTTGTTTTGTTTTTGTTTTTTGTTGTTCTTGTTTTTTGTTTTGTTGTTTGTTGTTTTGTTTTGTTTTTTAAGACCGGGTTTCTCTAGTTTTGGAGCCTGTCTTGGAACTCAGTCTATAGACTAGGCTGGGCCTCTAACTCACAGAGATCTGCCTGCCTCTGCCTCCCAAGTGCTGGGATTGAAGGTGTGTACCACTACCATCCAGCATGGTTCTTTTGTCTTTTTGTTTTAAGAAAAACATCATGGAGGCTAGAGAGGCTTCAGTACTTAAGATTACTGACTGCTCTTTCAAAGGGCACAGGTTCCATTCCCAGCACCCAAGTAGCAGCTCACAATTGTCTGGGACTCCAGTTCCTGGGGATCAGACATACATGAAGGCAAAAAAAAAAAAAAACCAATCCATATACAATAAAAATAAATTATTTTTAAAAATTATGGAGCCGGGCGATGGTGGCGCACGCCTTTAATCCCAGCACTCGGGAGGCAGAGGCAGGCGGATCTCTGTGAGTTCGAGACCAGCCTGGTCTACAGAGCTAGTTCCAGGACAGGCTCCAAAGCCACAGAGAAACCCTGTCTCGAAAAACCAAAAAAAAAAAAAAAATTATGGAAGGTTTCACAAATTTTTATGTCATCCTTGAGCAGGGGCCATGCTGATCTCTGTGTAGTTCCAATTACAGTACAGGAGCTGCCAAGGAAAGCACCCTCTGGGCTCTCTTAATTAAGGTTCCAGAAAAAAAAATTAAGCCCTAATGTCCCCTTATGGAATGAAAGAATTTCTCTGGTTATATAGCCTGGAAAACCTTGAGGCAGCCACTCAAACCATCTCCTATTTGCATGGTTCAAGTGAGAAAGCCTAGTTCAGAACAGCTAGTTGAGTCTTTTCTTTGTTTGGTTTGTTTGTGATTTTTCGATGCTAAGGACTGGATCTAGAGCGCTATATCGGGGTTTTATCGCTGAGCCACATCTCTAGCCCCTCACTAGTGAATTCTAGACAAGTGCTCTATTGCTCAGCCATACCTTTTTTTTTTAATTTTAAAAGCATTTATTTTATGTCATCTGTATAGATGTTTTGCATGTGCAAACCTGTAGGTATACGCAACACCTGTGTGCAGTTCCCAAGAAGGACAGAAGAGGGCATACTCCTCTGAAACTGAAGCTACACATGATTGTGAACTACCTGGTCTGGGTACTGGGATCCAAACTTGGGTCCTCTAGAAGAGTAGCAAATGTCCTTAACAACTGATCCATCTCCCTAGTCCCTGCTTGTCTGTTTAGAAGCAGTGTCTCACCATGGAGTTCCAAGGCAGAGGCTTGTAAACTTCCTGCGGAGGCCTCCCAAGCAATGGGATTACAGGTCTACCCCACTGTGCACAGTTTAATGAGCCCGTTTTTAAAGATCTATTTCTTATTAATTCTTTAAAACCGTGTGTATCAATAGGCAGTGGTGACACATGCCTTTAACCCCAACACTCTGTGAGTTCAAGGACAGCCTGGTCTACATACCTAGTTCCAAGACAGTCAGGGCTACACAGAGAAACCCTGTCTTGAAAAACAAACAAAAATTACATGTATGTGTGTATGGCACATGTATGTGGGTACCTCCATGTATGAAATAGTCATTCATTCATTGAGTTATGCCAAGACTGAACTCCAGTGGACTATTCAGCTCCTGTGTGCGAGGAGGTGCACATGGGTGTCAGAGACGTTGGACCTCTTCGAGCTGGAGTTACAGAGAGTTCTGAGTCACTTGGTGTAGGTTCTGGGAACTGAACTCCAGTCCTCTGGGAGAGCAGGATGGGCTCTTAACTGCTGGGCCATTTTTTTCAGCCCCTTACTGCTATTGTTCTAGTGTAGAAGAGAACATTGACTTGGTGAGAGGAGCTTTCCAGGGACGATCATGTTCTACCCATATCCAAACCATTCCCACAGGCCCACCACGTGCATAGCTTTCCCACAATTCACCTCTCTGTCATTCAAGATGTTCTTGATGATAGATTTCAAATCCCTCCCCTCAGGAACCAGTCGAGGTGAGGGCAAAGTCTTAGAAAAGTTCCAGTTCTTTTTAGTCATCTTGGAGTATAGAACCTGGGAAAGACAAAAACATGTGCTGGAAATGAAGGGACCGAGGAAGACAGAAAAGCAGACACGCTACAGGGGAGCAAGTATTTCGGTGAGAAAACGCCTTTGTTCGGACGTATTCATTTTATGTGTACGAGCGCTTTGCCCACATGTATGTATGTGTACCACACCCATGCCTGGTACCTGGGAGAGAAGAAGAGGGGATCAGTTTCCCTGGAATGGGAGTTAAAGATGGCTATGAGCTGCCATGTGAGTGCTGGGAATCCAACCTGGGTTCTCTTCAACAGTTACAACTGAGGCTGGGAGCTGTGGCACACACCTTTAATCCCAATACCCAGGAGACAGAGGCAGGTAGATTTCTGTGAGTTCGAGGCCAATCTGGTCTACAGTGAAACCCTGTCTTGAAACAACAACAAAAATCGAATCAATGATTTGAATTCTCCTTGCCCTCCCGGCCCCTTCCCCCAAACATGAACTTACTATATACCCTTGGCTGGTCTAGAACTCACTATGTAGACCAGGCTGACCTTAAATTCATGGAGCTTTCCCTGCCTCTGCCTCCTGAGTGCTGTGACTGGATGCATGAGCCACCAGTCTGGCAAAAAATAAAAAAATAAAAAAAAGTAAATAAATATATAAAGTTTCTTTTTGCCAGCTAAGGCAATTTGAAAACTAAAGTCAGATAATGAAAATCAAAAGGCTTTGCAATTTTTAAAAATGCATTCTAAAACCAGGGTTCTAGGACAGTGAAAGGGGCATACTGAAATCAAGAGAGAACGAGACGTGAGACAGAGCAGAGTCCCACGGATCTACATTTAGATCCTCCGGCTCTGCGGCTTCATGGCTTCTCCTTTTCCTTCGGATGTCTCAGACCCTAGTCCTGTCTTACAGTTGGCAGACATCTTCACGATCTCAGCAGGTCCAGTGCTGTTTGTTCATCGCGCTTCCTCCCGGCTGGGAATACCTGTTCCTAACAGCGGCTAATACCACGGGCTTCCGGTTCACTTCCCGTTCCTTCCACACCTGCACCACACCTGCACCATCCAAAGGACTCCAGAGACAAACTCCACTTCCAGGTTTCCATAGAAGGTGAGGCACTGGCTCCAGCATCATAATGCATTGGACTCTCCAAGCCCCCTCCCCCAACCCACACATCTGTGGGGTTCACTGACACCACCAATGTCCCTAAGAACCTGAGACTTGCCCAGGGAATGTGCCAGTGCTAGGAGGCACAGGGACAGGGGAAAGATGCCATCACATTGTAGCGGGGATAGGGGGTTGACGACAGGGGGTCTCTGGGGGGTAGTCTCGGGAGTCTTACAGTCTGATGAGAGATGTGTGTCAGAAGAGGGGGCAAGAGCTGTGCACACCAAATTTCCTTCCCTCGATGCCGTTCTAAAGACTTGTCTGTGTGGCTTCGCCTAACTACCTTAAGGTAGGGCTGATAAAAATAATTAGCTTCGAATTTTAGATACTTGGACACAGTACTAAATAGGAATGTCGCTTAGTTGGTAGAGAGTTTGCCTAGCACGGCAGAAGCCCTGGGTTTGGTGCTAGCACCACATAAAACCAAGCATGGTGACATTTACATCAGTCATCCCAGGATTTGGGAAGCCAAGAAGTTCGCCATCCTCTGCTGTGTGAGCATTTCTAGGCTAACCCTGGCTATGTGTGAAACTCCGTCTCACAAACAAAACAAAACCAAGGCCCAAACAAACAAGAACAACCGTAACTAACAGACCAAACAATAAGCACCCACGACTGAAGGGTCTTTTCCCTCTCCCTGAAACTGAATTTTAATTGGCTGCTCTACGTATTTACTTGTTAATCCTATTTCAACCTGATGTCCTTCCTTCCTCCAGGAGATGAAAACCCAGCCACACAGCTACAAGGAGGCAGGGCCAGATATGACAAAGTCACCGGACACGCATGGATGGGAAACGCGGCCTTTTGTGACAGAGGCCCTCCATCAGCCGCCCACGTGTAAGGGAGGGGCTCTCTGTCATTATCAAAGGTTTCTATGCCGCCCTTTGTAGTGTCAGCCCTGGAACCAAGCTCAGAGAAGCTTCAGGTAAACCTGTTATAGTCATCCGTGCCCACGTTTCTCCCCACCGCAGAAGCCAAACCGGTAGTTGTGAGGGTCTTTTTAAGGAAAAAGAGTGGGAAGCCTCGGAATCGCCTCATGGCTCTCTATCCTCTGGCCTAGGGATGCAGGTCTGGAATAAACTAGTGTTCTTGGGGATCGGGTTAGAGCAGTGATGGGTGTGAGGCTTAAACCAGATCGGTCACAACCGGTCCGTCCTACTGCTCCTCAGGTTCTGCAGAAACCTCATTCTGGCCAGCTTCCGCAGACAGACCACAAAATGAAGTTGTCACCACGTGATAGCCGGAAAGTTGGCGAATCCCATCTACCACGCATGCGTGTAGCACAAGGGTTGGTTAGGCCCCCAAAGGTGGGGAGAGGTAGATGCGCATGCCCACGCTGGAGGGAGGTCGAGCTATTCCTTTTGGAGGCTCCTGGAGCACGGATCCTGTGGTGGGACTGCAGGGCTCCGCGGAATTCGTGCTCCTGGAGCCTTCCCTCCTTCCTCCTGCGTGGGTTCTCCACGCTGTCTCAGGGCTGTCCTTCGGTCTCTGGCCTGGGAACTGCACCCTGAAACCTTGGAACTACATAGGTGTGACAACCTCCAGGATGGCTGCGTGCACTCCCAAGGTGTTGGTCTGGTCTCTTTAGTGGCGGTGGCTGCAAGAAGGCTAGATTTCACTGTTGAAGCAATTTCTTTCAGGGACTAACCCTCCCAAATTCTTGGGTTTTCCCCATTACTGACCAGTTTAAACTTTAGCCAATGTTCTTTGGTGACAGATTATGACAGAAGTGTTAGTATTAAAGTTTCCATCATCCTGAGCAAAGTGACACATGCTTTTAATCCCAGCACTCAGGAGGCAGAGGCAGGTGGGTCCTTGGTTTTGAGGTCAGCCTGGTCTACATACTGAGACTACTGATAAGGAAAAAATCCTCCAGTAGTCACTCCACCGATGCAATAAGTCAAATCAGGCCAAATTAATAAATCCAGGTTTCATCTGGGCAGAACATTCCCAGGTGGTCCCAGGAAAGAGAAGCCCAGGGGGGAAACCACAAGGGTGGGTCTATGGGCCAGACTTTAAATACCCTCCAGGGGAGGAGCCCCTGCTTGGCAGTCTTTCTTTGGGCCAGGTCTGGAGAGGGCAGCTCCAGTGAGCTGCTGCGTGGTGCTCTGAGAGCAGGGTTTGGAATTCGACCCAGAGTTGGAAATCCCCAGCTTCTATCTTTAAAATCCTGTCTTACCCTGAGTTGAGGACTATATATATGGACCACCCTCCCAGTTAGGCACTAGACTGAGCAGTTCCCCCACTATGGCAACTCTACAACATTTTTAAATCCCTCTTTTATATTATTGACTATCATTTCTAGTAAAACTAAAACCAGTTATATGCTGCCTCATTTTTCTCTTGTCTGGATCTCAGTTCATCTAAACCTCAGACTTTGGAACCTATTACTGTACAAAAATACTAATTATCAGAATAAAATTTTAAGGAAAAAGGAAAAGAGACTACCTGTAATCACCATGCTTAGGAATAACAA